TACATGATAAAGAAATGATTCATAAATTAGGAAAATTATATTGTAGACGTGTGCGTCTTGTAATAAACTCCGAGGCGTATTCATAATATAGATGATCAGCCAAAATACTTTGTACCTATGGTGAAATCTGATTTCAACATCCTTACTTGAACCATAAATTATGAATAATCGACTGGATGTTAAAACGAGAAATCTTATCAGTTGCCATAGTATGATCTATCCTAAGGCTGATGTTGATCGCCTAGATATGTCCAGATTCGAAATAGGTAGCTGATTAGTTCAACTAGAACTGTCCTACAAAACTACAACAATCGGTCTTAAAAGATACTTCGAGAGTACAAAAGGCTGCATGATATACTGTGTCAAATGCAATGAAAGAAAAAAGTAACATTATTCAGTAATAAAGGGAACCAATAAATTCAAAATGTAATTTCAAGTGGATAAAGAAAAGCAAGTAAACCATAATACAACTTCAGCAGCGCAAACATCATAAAAGTAAGCAAAAGCAAATACAATGAACCAAATGACGAAAGGATGGTAAGTTAAGCTGCTTCATGTCCAATATCTTGTACGAAACAAGTTTATGTAGACATACCCCTACCAATCAGTGGTTACGCAGTGCAGGTTTAAAAGCTGAAACCGAAGTTCTTATTCTTGTTGCGCAGGACCAATGATTGCTGCAAAGATATTACGAATCTCACATACTGAAAAATTGTCTTAACCTGAAATACAGACTCTGTGATAATTAACAGACCATCTTTTATCAGGTAGCAAAGGTATTTGAATTGACTGAACTCAAATCTCAACATGGAGTTTGTCAATATGTGCACAAGAAGATCTTCAACTTTTGCGGAAAGGAAATTGACAAAAACTCGTATCAACCCCCCCCTCCTGGGAGTTTTAAAGTCATAGAACCTGTACATATTTCATGGGATTTACAAGATTCACAAACAAATCAATTGAGCAATCAAAGTTAATTGCTCAGACTTTGTGATCAAATATCAAAAACACATGTGCTTTCTTATTGACTTACAATTGCTGGAGAGTTTATTGTATATTTGAAGATTTCCAAAAAACCTATCAAAATACAAGGATCTTGAATGGAAAATATAAAAAATGTGGGACATAATGACATCAATATGACTAGTTACATTTCGAGTTTTCGGTCTGATTTGAAAAGGTACAGATAAACTTTTAAAGTGATCCTGGTAGCCTATGCCTTAAATAAATACAAAAATTGTAATTAAACTTACAGCACACAACGTATGCATGACTTTATGTAAAATGTGTGTGATCTTAAGTTGTCTGATCAGTGGGAAATGTTATGATGCCATGTCTGACCTTATGTCATAGTTAGCACCGAAAGTGAAATGAATATACAACAGAAATCAAAGATAATAATAATAATAATAATAATAATAAATCCTAAAATTCAAGAAGTTCAACAAACATATGCTTATTAATATAGCAGTATTATCTGAGAGAAACATCTCCATGGAAATTATCGAGAAATTTTCAAAACACCAGGACTAGGACTTCCTGATTAACAGGATGAGGGGAATGAAGATTGAGACTGTAATAATAGTAGTCGCAGCCATGGGACACATGAGAAAAGAAATGGACAGTGTTAATAACATTGTCCCAAATAACATCAACATAAAAGATTGCCACAATATAGCCCTATTTGGAATATTACAATATATTACGAAAAGTGATATTAATTTAATAACAAATGTCATATAGGGCCTCAGGAGCATATTTTGGAATTGGCTCTAAAGGATACAGATCAAGAGACATAACATACAAAATTGATATTATTAATAATAACAGGGGTCAACACGATTTTTGGTACCAAGTTAAACACACACACACACATTTTGTACGCAATTTGATGGTGCTGATTCCGAAAATGACCTTAGTTTTTCATGGTTTCCTGTACTGACATTGTTCTTATTAGGAATAAAGATGAATTTACAATTGCGGGTCGCAAAACTTATATTATAAATGTTGTAAAAAATCATTAATTTTCAGGTCGGCGAATCAATTTATGTCAGCCACCTGAAATAAAAAAATTTTATGAAAAATATAAAACTGTTTTTGAGTCAAACATTTTAAAATAGAATTACCGAATATTTTCAATTTATTGTCAAAATTCAAATTAACTGATAAACTTTATCAGTATTAACTTTAGTAAACCTGTTAATTAAGATATCATCAAAGAAATGAAAAATCTGTTTGATATTCATAAATTTATCACATCCATTTAACCCCTTCACTAGGAAAGGAAACCAAGTACATTGAAAACTTTTGTTTTCGCAGTTGGAAATAAACTCTAACTAAAGACATCCCAATCGAATGCACCTATTCCATTTTACATGAAGAATATCACGGTAATGGTTTCACCATAACATCTGCTATCTACGCGGGATTATGGACATCTAAATACACCTTGATCTGAAATCGCCAAAGCGTCGTTTGTGAAATTAATTTTCCCACTGTTTTGACATCATCCGGCTGTCTTGAAGCTGTTTCGCATGCGTTCAAATTTGGTGGAGTTGGCAGTTTCAGTTTTACTAGAGAAGATATTTACGTGAACATGTGTACAAGGTCTGCTTTGCTCAGGGAGAAGACCTCGGTGCTTTGCAGACCGATGCCGGCAGCAAAAAAAAAAAAACACCCAGTGAAAGATTTCCTATTGATGCATGAGGTAATGTTATTATGGCATATATTTTTTGTGTAGGTGGGAGAGTAGAACAAAAGAGAAGCACTGGAAAAGGTAAGATTGGTCACCCCGAGAGTTGAAGTGTGTCGAAAAGAACATTGTTAATGCAGCGCTTGTTCCGAAAGAAAAAAAAATCATCTTCTCTCCTTTGCCTATCAAATTGGATTTAATGAAACAGTATGTAAATTCACTTGACAAAGAAAGTAAATGTTTTGGGTATATATGTAAGTCCTTCCCACGACTTAACAGCAAAAACTCAAAGCAGGGGTGTTTGATTGTCCTGATATCAGTAAACACATTAAGGATGATGAATTTCTTAATTCAATGGATGAATTGAATTACCCACGTGGACATCGTTTATTGACATGGTGAAAAAATTCTTAGGCAATCGCCAGGCGGAAAGCTGAAAGAAGTTAGTTGAACATCTGTTGAAAATGTTACAAAATATAGGCGCTAATCTGAGTATTGAGGTTCATTATTTGCATAGGCATCTAGATGAATTTCCGGATAATTGCAGCGATATGAGTGATGGGCAAGGAGAACGATTCTATGAGGATATCAAGAACAATGGAAGAGCACTAACAGGGACGGTTAGACAAACGAATGATGGCTGACAACTGTTGGATTATCGAAAGGGATTTCAATAACATTGAACATGAGAGACAATAAAGAAAGAGAAAAGTTTTACCATAGTTCTTATGTTCACGAAGGTTTATTTTTGCTGTTAGTCTAATAAATGATTCGATGAAACTACCTGTTGGTCTTCGTATAATCGGTCGTGTTATTTTAAAGACTTAGGGACTGATTGTTACTATAAAATAGTATTTCTCAATAGGCAGATCAATGATTGTTGGTTTAAAGAAGAATTGAAAGCTTTCTACGATTTTACTTTAAGAAATATTACCATCGGTCAATATCATATATACAGAAAATTTTTTTTCAAATGTGAGGCATTTCTGCACAGCAAAAATTGTAGCTAACCAAGAAAAGGTAAGATTATTTTAAGATTTAGCGATCTCCGATTAGCTAAATATAATGTTTCATCATATTCAATTATTTTTTTTTTTTTGATGACCAGTGTTATAATATCCTGCTTCATGTTGCAAAGCCTCATGTTTTTCTGACTTTAATCAGTTAGAGGTAAGAACATATATATATATATATATATATATATATATATATATATATATATATATATATATATATATATATATATATATATAGGTATGTATTGTTGAATAAACAGGGAGTGATTTAAATATTACGTACGGCACGACAGATTTGATTAATTATCTTCCTGGCCATAACATGGATCATGTCCCATTTTTAAAAGTCGACTAATATATATTTGGTAACACTCTATTGTCCCAGCTGAATGTGTTACATGGCAGGAAAATATTTCTAATTCAGACTAAACTACAAGTTATAGGCTGAAAAAGAAAAAGAAGAAAACTAGAAGGAAACAAAGAACGGGAACAATTATAAAGATATTAATTATGTATGATCGACCCAGATAAAATCGAAGTCACTCTTTGCTGTAAATTATCAATCATGCTATACATGGTAGAAAGATTTTGCACGCTGAAAAGCAAAATAAAGAAGAAAAACAATATGACGTTAACGTTGAAGCATAAAAGGAAATGACAGATTATAAGAATTCATTTGTAACTATGATTAATATCTGTAAAATAATTCTGAACCTTTCAGCGAAAAAATTAAAGACTAAACCAGTACAGAATATAGGGTCGTTAATTTCGGTGTGAAACCTAAGAAAACTTCAAAAAATTGAGTGAGAAACATTTTTAATTGTGTTGCTGACAAAAAATTATCATCTAAATCTGGAAAGAAGGCAATATAAACGACCCAATTTTAGTTGTTTTCATTCTGTTTTTGTATTGTATTAATAATTACCGTGATATTATCAGCGATATTGACGATATTGTCTCATATTAAATTTCTAAATTTCATAAAGTTTGATGTTATTTTCAACTGTACTGAATCACCTAGCTTGATCTTCACAGGATATCTTTTATACAGATCAGTTCGTTCGCAATGGCCTCCTATCTTCGACGGCGGTCCGATTCTAGAATAGAAGTTCGGCTTTTGCTTCTAAAATTAAAGAACTTGCAAACATGTAAAAATGTCACTGCTGCTATTAAACTGTGTGGCTTATCACGAACGGGAAATGTAATGAACAGAATCAATTTGGCAGTGGAAATCAATAAATTGGAAAGCAGCACGTGGCATTCAGCATGACTTCTGTCTGATATTCCAAACGCTAGAAGTAGAAGCAATAGTAGCAAAAAGAGTAGTACACGTTATGGTGGTTGGGCTTCGAATAATAATTAGTAGTAATATCAGTAAAGCGAGAGAGGGCAGATGAATTAAATAGGAAATAGAAAATATCGAATATTTCATCGGAATTTGTGGAATAGTAATTAAGGGAAACGAACAAAAGAATATGCCAGAAAATATAGAATATTGTGAAAATCTGAATAAAACGTATACATTGGTAGTGTATTCCAACAATGAAATAAAGAGGGGGAGGAAGATATCGTGAAAATATAGCAATGAGGATAATGTAAATAAACGGAAAGAGAAAGAAGAAAAACAAGAAAAGATAAAAAAGAAAAATTTGTAAACAGAATAAAATGATGAGAAGAAGGAAGAAAATATGCTGAATGTAAATGTTAAGAAAAGACAAAAAAGTGAATACGAAGCAAAAGAAAAAACAAGTAAAGAATAATGGAAAAAGAAACTGTAATGGAAAGAAAGTGGTACGAGAGTAGAGTTTCGAAACGAAAAAGAAGACAGAAAAGTGATACAGATGTAGAATGAGGAACTAAATGGAAATAGAAAAGGAAGTATAAACAGGAGAAATACAATGAGAAAAATAGCAAATTGGAAATTATATATGAAGATATTATAAATAAAATACAGATAAGAGGATGATTTTAGAAGGAAAGAGAAACGAAAAAAAAGAAGAATGTAAACATCAAAAATTAGGACGTTAAAAAACAGTATAGAGAAACAAAAAACAACTGCACTTAGCATGAGAAAATGAAGACATTTTGAAAGTGGATTGACAAGAAAAAATAGTATGAAGAAAGGAATAAAAAAGAGATAAGAATGAAAGGAGAAGTATATAAGGTGACAATAAATACGAGCAAGAAAGAACAATCAAAGTTACAAATGAGAGGCGGAAACGAAGCCTGTAGTTATATGTATGGGTGGAAATAAAATGACAAATATAAAATATGATTAAAAATAAAATACAAATGCACAGCATCTATCTATCATTCTCTCTCTCTCTCTCTCTCTCTCTCTCTATATATATATATATATATATATATATATATATATATATATATATATATATATATATAATCGCCATATTCTGTCCTCCGAAATAACCGTTCTTCTATTGCCTTTTCACCTCACTGATGTCTTCTGAAATCCTTCCTTTTTCAATGATTACTGGCAACTACCATATGGTATCTTTGCGCATCAATGCTTCTTTTATAAATGATTCATATATATATATATATATATATATATATATATATATATATATATAAATGGACATATGTATATATGTATATGCACGCGTGTCTTCATCTGCTTGTGTATGTGTTTGTGTGTGTATGCCTGTGGAATGAATACGAAAGAGCCAGAAAAAAACCCCAAAAGAGATGGATATCCATAATTACAGTCTCATGGTAAAAAAAACATATGACAAATATTTACTTTTCCTTGAGATCGAGTGCATTTTCGGTAGACTTCAATATCAATCATATATGAAAATTTTTGCACTATATATTCCGATCAAAATACCGAATACAGTAATATATATATATATATATATATATATATATATATATATATATATATATATATTTTACAGATTTTATCGTAATCCAACATAGGGTTTTTTTGGTTGAAATCCCCGTATCTGTTTTAATTCTGATTGATTTTTTGTTTATCGCTTTCCCTTTTACAATCACTATTCTAAAGCTTTAATTTTTCCTTCTCCGTCATAAAATGTGGAGATGCACTAACATCTAACCAGATCAAGAGTTTTTCCTCAAGAAATTTGGGGATCGAACTTTCTTCACTGACAATTTTTTTTATTGTTCACTCCACCCACTTGTGTTTCTTCAAAGATGTTTGTATAATTTTATTAATTTCCCGCCAAGGACAATCAGAAAGCCATTAAGCTGGCAAAGATTAAGGAGTCGACGTAAAGCAAAACATTATGAATAAAAGAGAATAACAAAAATACAGGAATTAAGAGGAAAGACGATAACGATTCACACTGTATTTGGATTCTTGAAGATCAATGTTTACGGGGATTGAAGGGGCCGGAAGAGTGTTTCGCGGAGGAAAAGTTCAAGCGAATTAAAGGATAGCATAGAAAATATGGTTAGCCCAAGACATTTCAATTGTAAAATGGTAAGACCTATCTTCCAATCTAGTACTGGACTTAAAAGTCGTAACGGCAAGTTATCAAAGTAGAAGTCCCAACACAAACTTTACTATGAAAATATTTACAGAAACCGTAGAGTAAGGCAATGTTAGGACGGTTGGAATGTGACTGAAGACGGGATACCAGCTCATGTATGGTAATTTTGCACATTTCTCTGTGTATTTTATCTAGAATTACTAAATGAATAGCAGAATCTCTAGACCAAATATGACGGCAATGTTCCGTGAATGGTGGATTGGTCAAACTATAAATATATAAAATAGATTTCGAACAGAAGTTTTTGTAGCACGTAACCGTGTCTCAAAATAAGTGGTAGTAGTCCCAGCAATAGATTGAATATAATATTTATACTTCACGTCAGATGAAACCATAAGTTCAAGGATTAGCAATGCAGCAAGCAGTAACATACCCACCCAAAAACAGTAAGTACTGTTTTACATTTAGATTTACACGCTCTACAGCTTTAATGAAATGTCAATTATAATTCGATAACTCGAATCAAATACCAAGATTATATATATATATATATATATATATATATATATATATATATAATTATTATTTTTCTAAAAATATGATTACTTCGCTACATAAGAGTACTCATGTTTCAAAAACTAGAACGGAAATCCTCAATATACCTATTAAAATTGAATTAAGATATCAAGACCTGTTTCATCATCAAGCGAAAATTTAAGAATAACCAATCTTGAAATTTACGCATCTTCATGAGCACGTTTGCTCGCAAAATTAATTAATATGGAAAAGACTGTGGCGAACATTTTGATAGGGTGTCTAACAGTTAATTGTTATCCGCATATTAGTCAGCTTCTGAAAGACTTCAAGCCGAGGTATGGTTGGGTATCCATTTCAAAGCGGATGATGGCATTCATTTACGCACATCACCTGGTCAGTTACAATGAAAGATAACTTTTGGCACCATGGTATGTCGTGAAGTGTCTAGAGAATTTTGTTTTATTTTATCTTATCTATTTATTTATCCAAATGGCTGTTTAATATATAAACGCGTCGCACTGAAATACTATTTGTTTTTGGACGACTTCATAAAGTGTTTTTCTATTAAACTTTTAAGCCGTTTATTAAAATTTGAAATTTATTTTTTTATGCGAAAATTTGTTGATGTCGGTAAAATAAGGTTAACTAATGTCTATGGTTTAATAAATTTTCATTATTTAGAAATTTAACAATGTGTAGTTTTTCATGTAGCCATAATGTTCATGGGACATCCCAAGTGTTACAAGTTCTTGTTCTATTTTCAATTTTACTTTTGGAAATTTATTCATTTCTTTTAAATGCCAAAAATATTTGGATAGAGATGTCTGATTGCTATATCTAATATTATTGAAGGAGCTTTTGAGTGGCCTACATCTAATTTTAAATTCATTCTTCGTTGACCCAATGTATATCCTATCATTATTAGGACTCTTAATAGAAAGAGATAGTGCATTCGTGTACTACGGATTTTATGAGGCATTTATTTTCCAACGTGCAGTCTTCAGGGTTTCTACAATCACATACATTTTCATTAGTTTTGCCTAATTTAATTCAGGATTTTTATTAATACTGTTTTGGCATGCATGTTTTTCCAGGATTTTATTATGTTCTTTATTATTCTTTCTAGATTTTCAGTGCAACTGTAACTTCATTTTTAGTCATTTTTATTAAAGATCTCGCTAAATCTGCTATTAGTAGAAAAGTGTTTTTCAGTTAAAGCTAGGGACTTATGTCCTAGCTGAGTACTGACCATTTGGTTGAACGGAGGGTTATACCAGATGATTTTCTTTTCTTTTTTTGCTTGCTGTTAGTTCTATTGATTCTATAACTTATGTTAGCGCTTTTGTATCCGTTATTTTTTAAGGCTGTGTTATACAAATTACTATGTTGACGGAATATTTCCTCATTAGTGGAATTAATGCTGACATCAAAAAATGTTCGCATTAAATAATTAGCATAAAAAATAATTCGTAGTTTAATAAAAGGCTTAACATCTTAACCCAATCATTAAATACAGAAGCCCTTTATGAAGTTGTCCTAAAAACAAATAGTAGTTTAGTGCGACGCCTTTATATATGCAACAGCCATTTGGATAACAAATAGATAAACAAATAAATAGATAAAAAAACAAAAGAAAATAAAACTAAATTCTCTAGACACTTCGCGACATGCCATGGTGCCAAACGCTATCTTTCATTGTAACTGACCAGACGATGTGCTTACATGACTGCCAGCATCCGCTTTGAAATGGATACTCCACCATACCTCGGCTTGACCTCTTTCAGAAGGTGACTGATATGCAGATAAACATTAACTGTTAGAAGCCTATCAAATTGGTCACCCCAGGCGTTTCCATAGTAATTAATTTTGCGAGCGAATATGCTTATAAAGATGCATACATTTCAAGTTTGGTTATCATTAAATTTGCGCTTGAGGATGAAACAGGGCTTGTCACCTTAATTCACTTTAATTTTAATAATTGTATTGAGGGTTTCCGCAATAGTTTTTGAAACATGAGAATTCTTATGTAGCGAAGGAATCACATTTAAAAAAATACTCAAGATCTACTTCTGTATAGAGCACTGGTTTTTAAAAATAAAAAGCAAAAATACTAAAAAGTCCTGATTATTTATCTTCCTATTTTCCTACATACCTGCAAACACACACACACACGCACACACACGCGCGCACACGCACACACACACACACACACACACACACACATATATATATATATATATATATATATATATATATATATATATATATATATATATCAGCTACAGATGAATTGTTTCGCTATATCAAAGATCATTAGTGTGTTTGGACGATTGCGAGTTGACATCATACGGAGTCCTTCCCCCTCGTGCTCCCAGGGCACGTAACAAAGAAATGGAATTTTTAACGCATTATATACGAGATACACAGTGAATGAAAGAGAGAAAGAAACAGAGAGACAGAGAGACGGAGACAGACACACACACGCACAGACAACGAACAGACATACATACCAACCAATATAATGTAAAAGTATACCGACAAGCAAATCTGTTTATATTTTAAAGGCGTTTCAAGAATAAATAAACTCATGAAGTAAAGCAGTTAAAGAATAGGTTCTCTGCAAAAACTATATTGAGAACATTTCTTTAAATCAAAATACGTCTTAATTCTGCAGGCTGCAATTGGAACTATTTTTACTAAATATCTGATGATTTTTTACCTATAAATTTGACGACAAACTTTTGAAATAATATATATATAATATATATATATATATATATATATATATATATATAATGATTGGCCGAAAAATTTTTAGACACTGAATTCTCTAAATGGGTTGT